TGATCTTTTATGACTTCTAAACGAACGGACAGCACGCGTGAAAAAGCATACAAAAATGCATACGTAGCATTTGAAAGACCACGTTCAGTTCGGTGTTTGATCACAAAGGTCCAGAGAAGTCCATACCAATACAATAAAATGGTTTAATACAGAGGTTCTCAACCGGTGGTACGCGTACCACTGGTGCTACGCAAGACAAAATAGCTGGTAAGCAAAGTATTTTTAACTATTAAATTCAAAAATTAAAACCCCAACATCCTGATTGAGGTTTTTCTCTAACACTCGTAAATTTATGCGATCTGAGCTTTGTTCAAGATTGGTGGTGGTAGTATTACTTTGTAGTGGTGGTACTAAAAGTTTTCAATTTTTCTTTAGGTGGTACGCGTCAGTCAAAAGGTTGAGAACCGCTAGTCTAGTATATGTAACACGTGAGACAGGTAAATCGGACATGATTTGTGTGGCAAGTTTGGCTCTATACCTGCGGCAGAGAACACATTTGTTCAAGGCTTTCCGAATGGAAGATCGAGCAGATATCATCCAGAAGCTTTGCCTCAAAACACACATCAACAATTGATGTACAGGATGTGAATATTTTAGATAAAAATGTTTAATGATCAGTTCGTTGATGAAATGGTTTTAAGGAAGAAGAATTGGATGTCTCTCATTTTCCGTAAAAAAAGCATTTCTTAAACGACCACCGACAAGCAAAACATCTTCGTCTAGAAATGGGTTTAAGCAGAGGATATTACTACTCGTTTTTAAGGGGAGTGATATGAGTAATTGCGAAATTTCTTCTTGGAATCCTGAACGTTGAATCACCTTTAGAATTTTAGTTTTTGCTCTCTCGAGCTCTTCTGTAGTTGGGAAATCTAACGATATCTTCTCAGGAAGAAACCAGTTATTCACAAATCTTAAACAGTAGATCAAGACTCGAAGTATTGTAGTTTGGACCACGAAGAATATTTTGAAATAACAGCAGGTTCTTGAACTCCTAAAATACTGATATTAAAATACTTCTTTTCTTTTTACAAAGCAATTTCAGGAAGAGAAAGTGTCTCTAGAAGTGTAAAGTTCTCTATATCTACTATAGATTTGCTTAATTAGTCAGGACATCTGAACTATTTATTACAATTTGTTAGTTGAGAAGATAAGGGTATACCACTCCTTTTCCCATCCAAAAAAAAACGCACGAGAGGGCTTTCGGCTCGCCATGACGCACCGACACTATACATTTACAAACATCCATGCCTTCTCCGAGATTCGAGCTCAGACACTTCGACACGGCAGTCAGCGACACTAACCACTATAGCGATTGGACGGTATTTTTGTCGTACGGGAGTCAAACTTCTTTTTATAACGAGTATAAAACTTTCGCAAATGTAAGCAGAGGAACTGGAATACAGCATTGACAGTTAGATTTTAGAGACAGTTAGATTTCGCTATTTGTAGAAAATTAACTTTTTAAAAATTTGACACTGCCGAAATATGAATATCTTCGTGTTTAAAAACATTGCTGTAACTGGAAGCACATGACAACGACCGAAGATTGCAAAAATAAAGGCCAGGTAAGGAGGTGGATATATCTGTATATATACTTTTGGCACTACCGGTTGCAGATAAAAAACAAAATGAACAACTAGATGTTATAGCAGTACTATGTACAAAATTTCAACGTTCTACTGTTAATCATTTTAGACTTATTCAAGATATGTACGTACTTACGCACATATATATGAAAAGACGAAACGTAAAAAATTCATTTTAAAACCGATCGTTGTTATCCAAATGAAATGCATTGTTGACACAATCATCAGATGAAACAAAATTATTTTCTTTGTTCGACATTGCAAAAGCAATGTTGTCTTACCTTTTCGTTTTAATTTAATTTGAGGAGAAGAATGCATACTCCGCTTATAACTCGAAATATAAATGAAATGACAAGAACGAGGATGTAAAGCGTACCGCGTCATGGTTGGGCAGAATATATAAGGACAATGGAGACAGAAAAGTGTTCATTGTATGCGAAATCAGATTACTCTAGTAGACAAAAATTGATTCCACTAGTCATGTATTGTTATCTTGATTATGCTAAGATTTAGTTTTTGATCAAACGTTTATTATGCAATTTATGCAATTCTTAAAATTAAGAAGATAAAATAAGCATTTTTATTAAAATTATTCATTCTAATTACATGTGCTTATTATTAAAAATGTCTAAAATTTAGAATTTATGTATAGAAACAGTGAGCACTTCAAAATTTCTTCGAGGGCACCGCGTTGTCGACCTCTGATTTAAATGAAATGCAATGAATTTTTAGAAGAATCATTTATGTAAAATCTGTTAAGTCCCTCTGAAGCCAGATGGCGCTGCCATCGTTACTGTTTACAAAACGAATGTTAATTACTTTGGAGTTGGCTTCAATGGCGAAGCAGAGAGTGATTGTGGGAGCCTGGGCGTCTCTCAAAAATTAGTATAATAAAGATAAAGATATGTTTGTCTCTTTTTGTTAGAGATATGTTTGTCATTTTCCGTAAAAAAAGCATTTCTTAAACGACCACCGACAAGCAAAACATCTTCGTCTAGAAATGGGTTTAAGCAGAGGATATTACTACTCGTTTTTAAGGGGAGTGATATGAGTAATTGCGAAATTTCTTCTTGGAATCCTGAACGTTGAATCACCTTTAGAATTTTAGTTTTTGCTCTCTCGAGCTCTTCTGTAGTTGGGAAATCTAACGATATCTTATATATACTGATAAGTAGTTTGTAAATTAGTTTAATTGAGAGTTACAGTCCATTTAGAAATCGCCGGACCATTTGAGTGGTCCAGTAGAGCCGCAGAGATATCAGCTAAATAAATAATCTAGTGTAAAACAGTGAGTTTGCCATTTTGTTTCAATGGAATTTGTGTTTGTGGATTATAGCCAGTTGCTGAAAGAAAGGGGTAAGTAAAAAACCCTTGAAACTCTATTCATTATTAACTGTTGCATTTAGTAAATTCTGAATTAAATTTGTGTGATAATTTGTTATTGATAAGTGTAGCGAAAATGGCTACGAAACTGAAAGATGTTCTCACTAAAAAGAGAACTCAAAAAACTATCTTATCGAAGTTGCAAAAGAAATTTTGTGAGCCAGATTTAAGTGTTAGTGATTTACAATTGTTAAAAACTAAATTTAATAATCTGCAAAATGAATTTGATATTATTTTTGATTCTATTATCAATTTAAGTAGTGAAGAAAATATCGAAAAAATCTTCAGTGAGCAAGATGAAATCAATAGTAGTATTATTGATATAGAATTTGAAATAAATAATAGATTGTCGAACGTTGTTAAGAAAAAAAAAGAAAATAAAGTAGAAAATGCAGTAATTTCTGAAAATACTGTTGTGCGTTTACCCAAGATTTCATTACCAATATTTTCAGGAGAAATGCATTCTTGGCTTTCCTTTAAGGACATTTTTAAAGCGAGTATTGATCAAAACCCAAATTTATTAGATGCTGTAAAATTGCAATATTTGAAATCAGCACTGAAAGGAGATGCTTTTAGAATTATCCAAAACGATAGCTATAAAACGGATTCTAATAATTATAAGTTAGCGTGGTCTCTCCTTGAAGAAAGATACTCGAATCCTAGAGAACAAGTGTATGCTCATCTTAAAAGATTTATGAGTATTCCCGTTATTCAAAACGAGTCAGCTTCTGCGATTCTAAATTTAATTGATGTTACAAGTGAAATTGTAAGATCGTTAGAATGTTTAGAACAAAAGTTAGATCGGGTTTCATCCGCTATATTTGCCTTTATTCTTAGCCAGAAACTTGATCAGAATACTAAGTTATGGTGGGAAAGGAATTTAAAGAAAGAAAAAATACCGAACATTACAGAGTTATTAGAATTTCTAAAGGATCACGCGAGGACATTAAACGCTTCTAGAATTCCAGTAATGTCTAAATCAAAAGCTTCAGTAAGTCAATCAAAGGTTTCTTCAATGTTTTCATGTGTGACTGAAAAACGTGCTTTAATTTGCAAACTGTGTAATGTGGAACATAAATTATTTAAATGCCCTAAATTTCAGAAATTCAGCTTAAAGGATAGAGTCGAGTATGTTAAAAAACACAACTTATGTTTCTGCTGTTTTGGAAATCATGGAGTGAGAAATTGCCCTTCAAATTACTCTTGTAGGGTATGCAGAAAAAAGCACAATTCGTTACTGTGTTATGAGCGAGAAAAAGTTTCGATTTCCCAAAATAGAGAGAGTTGCGAAATCGCCTCTCTGCCGGATCAAAAGTCAGACGCCAGTTCGTCTACGGAAGTAGCGAAGCCATTTATAAATAAGGATAACGAATGTTTTATGACAGCTAATGTAAATAAAAATTTTAATGCAGTTAATAGAGTCCTACTATCGACAGCGATTGTTTATATTGAGGGAAATGAAGGAGAAATATTTCCAGCCAGAACATCGCTTGACAGTGGAAGTATGATTCATCTTTGTTCATCGGAATTAGCTGAGAAGCTTCATTTGCAAAGAGAAAATGTAAACGTATCAGTAGGATGTTTATCTGGGATTTCAACAACGGAGAAATCAAAAATAAGTGCGGTTATTTTAAATAGAGGAAACACATACAGTCGTAAACTAGATTTTTTCGTAATTCCGAAAATTACTCATTTGATGCCTTCTAGACAAATTGATGTCTGTAATATTGAGATTTCACAAGGAGTTACGTTAGCTGATCCAGACTTTCACAAACCGGGTAAAATTCAGTTACTTTTAGGATCTGAAATATTTTTCGATTTGATAAGATCCGGGCAAATTTATGTACCAAATACAAATTTAGTGTTACAAAACTCAGCATTTGGGTATTTGGTAAGCGGTAGCATTGAAGATTTACCACATGAGAAACAATTAATGCATTGTGGGTTAATTTATGACAATGTCGAAGCACAGTTGAAGAAGTTTTTTGATTTGGAATCAATTCGGTATCAGAGATGATCCCAATTCTTACGATGATTGAAGATAAAGCATTAGAGATATTCAACAAAACTGTTAGTTTCAAAGATGGTCGTTATATTGTTAGTTTGCCTTGGAAGAAAAGTTGGGAACATTTAGGCGACAATTTTGGTGTCGCAGAAAAAAGAATAAAAATCCTGATGAGAAAAAAAAAATGCAGCATGATAATACATTATACCTGAAATATAGAGAAACTTTAAAAGAGTACCTAAATCAAGGGATAATAGAAAGAGTATTAGATTCTACGAAACCAGTAAACAAGCCAGTTTTTATATGCCGCATCAGGCAGTTTATAGAGAAGAAAGCATTACAACAAAAATGCGTATTGTATTTGATGCGAGCTCACATGAAATAGGTAGTCTGTCCCTGAATGATTGTTTGTGGCCATGTATTAATCTGAATCAAAATATATTTCACTTGCTGATATATTTTAGACTTAATAGAGTTGCAATCTTAGGAGATATCAAAAAGGCATTTTTACAGATCGTGTTAGCTGAAAAAGATCGAGATGCAGTTAGATTTTTATTTGTTAAGAATATTGATACACCTTTGCAGAATACCGATCAGCTAGAAGTGTATAGATTTAAGCGTGTACTCTTTGGTGTTAATTCCAGTCCTTTTTTGTTAGCGGCAACTATAAAGCTGCATATCCAAAAGTACAGAAATGTGTATCCCTATACCTTTCAAATTCTTGATACATGTATGTATGTTGATGATCTTGTTACAGGAGCAGATGATGTATCAGAAGCCTTAAAAACTTCAAGGGAAGCAAAGGAAATTATGCGTGGAGCTGGGATGAATCTACGCAAATGGGTGACGAATGATTACCATTTAGCTAAAAAATGGGAAGAAGAAAATTTTGATATTCATCCCCTAAGCTCAAATGAAAAGGGCCCACCAGCGGCCGAGCGGTAAAGTCGCTGAACACTGGTAGTTCGGTCCGAGGTTCGAATCCCGCGAACGGGCTGGCTGCATGGGTGTTTTCGTGGTTTTCCCCATGTGTAACGTGTATACGAGCCAGTTTCCCTTAGAAAGTCCTCCACGAAAGGCATCCCTCCTCTTAGGCAGATAGCCCTTGTGTGCTTTGCCATAATTAAATACACCACACCAAATGAAAAGATACTGAAGGTATTAGGAATTCAATGGAACATTCAGGAAGATAGTTTGAGTATAGAGACTTCTTGTTTGACGAAAATTTCGAGGAGAAAGAAAAGTACCAAACGCTTCATCCTCCAAACAGCTGGAAAATATATGATCCTCTTGGACTCATCACACCATTCACTGTTAGAATAAAACTTTTACTACAAAAGCTATGGTTACGTAAATTATCATGGGATGAAGAGCTTCCTTCTGATTTGAACGACGAGTGGTCTCAGTGGTGTAGCGAGCTTTCAGAACTTAGTTACATTAGTGTTCCAAGATTTGCTTTGGATTCATGTGATGAAAATATAGAGATCCATGTTTTTTCTGACGCAAGTCAAAAGTTGTATGGTGCAGCCGTTTATGTAAAGGTACAGAATCAAGAAAAAATTTCTGTGAATTTGCTGGCTTCCAAGAGCAGAGTTTCACCTGTCAAAAAAGTTTCCTTGCCTCGACTTGAATTGCTGCGTGCACTGATTGGTGCAAGATTGGGAACGGAAGTTAAAAAAGTTTTAGATCGTAAAGGTTTATCTAATATCTTTTTTTGGAGTGATTCTAAAGTTAAACTGTATTGGATCAAAGGATCAAGCAGGAGATGGAAGTCTTTCGTTTAAAATCGCGTCGACGAGATTCAGAAGTTGACTAATCCAGATTCATGGTTTTATTGTTCAACCAAAGACAATCCAGCCAATCTTCTAACGCGTGGAGTTAGTGCCTCTTCTCTAGTGAACAATTCAAAGTGGTGGACTTGTGCAGAATTTTTTACAGAGCCGCATCTTCCCTAGAAGTGCTTACAACCAATAGTTCCAGAGGTTGAGAATCTAACACCAAATGAAAGGGAGTCCTTTGTGCAAGAAAGCAAAAGTTCTAGTGACATTTCTGAGAGAACTATGTTGATTGACATGAACTCTAACGTTTTAGACGAACTCTTGAATATTAGTAACAATTATTATAGAATAATTAATGTTCTTTCTTATATTTTTAGGTTTATTTGTAATTGCAGGAAAGATGAATCAAGAAAGGTAGGCCCTCTTCAACTAGAGGAGGTAAGAATAGCTGAGGAAATGCTTATTAAGCATGAGCAGAAGGTTCTATTTTGTAAAAAGGACATAACAGGTAACTTAAAAAATTTACATCCCTTTGTGTTGATCGTAAAGGAATAATTCGCGTTGGTGGCCGTCTTGAAAAAGCTTCTTTACCATTTTCTCAGAAATATCCTGCAATCCTACCAAAAAATTCTAAGCTAAGTAAGATTTATTTTTCTAGTGTGCACAGAAGATTATTGCATGTCGGCCCCCAAGGATTATTGAATGCAGTACGTTTAAAATTTTGGCCATTAGGTGGTAGAGAGATTTGGCGCGAAAAACAGTACATCTTTGTGTGTGACATGCTTTAAATGCAAACCGATTTTGTCTTCACAGATTATGGGCAATTTGCCATACGAGAGAGTTAATAGATCACCCCCATTTAGTGTTTCAGGTTTGGATCTATGCGGTCCCTTTTATGTGAACTTACAAGCATCAGAGAAAGGAGCAAAGAGAATCGTTCTAAATAAAATTTACATTTGTGTATGTATATGTTTTGTGACACGAGCTATTCATCTTGAGCCTTTGTCAGATTTAACTTCTAGTGCTTTAATTGCCACTCTTAAGCGTTTCATGGCCAGACGTGGCAAATGTGCGAAAATATTCACTGATAATGCCCCTAATTTTGTAGGAGCAAATTCTCTGTTGAAGAAATTTTACAATGTAATTAATTTTCCTGATGAAACTTTGGCCTCATATTTCACGTCCGAAAGAATAGACTGGAACTTTATACCTCCCAAGTCCCCTCATTTCGGAGGGCTATGGGAAGCCGGTGTAAAGTCCGTAAAGTATCATTTAAAGAGAACGATAGGAAATTTGCGTTTTACATATGAGGAGTTTGAAACTATAATTGTGCAGGTAGAGGGAATACTAAATTCGAGACCTCTTACACCTATTTCCAATGATTTTGATTGTTATGACGTTTTGACTCCAGGTCATTTTTTAATAGGGAGATCAATACAGACGATTCCGGAGCCAATGATAATAGACGTAAATGAAAATCGGTTAAGCCGGTGGCAGAGAACAACAAAAGTAGTTCAAATTTATTTGGAAGAAATGGTCAAATGACTATTTAGGAACTCTGCAGCAGAGAAACAAGTGGATGATAGAGAAGGACAATATTTCTGTTGGTATTATGGTACTCGTCAAGGAGGATTATCTACCAATTTGCAAATGGATATTAGGTCGGGTTATTAAAGTCTATCATGGATCTGACAATAAAGTAAGAACAGTTAAAATCAAAACAAAATCAGGAGAATTGAAAAGAGCGATAACAAAGATCGCCGTTCTTCCGATAGAAAACTGAAATGATATTTTTGCATATATATTGTATTGTTATAGTATTGTAATAGCTGTAGTTATAGTAATAGTATATTATGTTGTTTATAAGTATATTAACTTTGTTTAAGAATGTTTGTATAGTTTCTTGAAATTTTGTAATTTCAATCCGGGGGAGTGTTAAGTCCCTCTGAAGCCAGATGGCGCTGCCATCGTTACTGTTTACAAAACGAATGTTAATTACTTTGGAGTTGGCTTCAATGGCGAAGCAGAGAGTGATTGTGGGAGCCTGAGCGTCTCTCAAAAATTAGTATAATAAAGATATGTTACAAAGTAGTTTGTAAATTAGTTTAATTGAGAGTTACAGTCCATTTAGAAATCGCCGGACCAAAATCTAGCTGAGGTATGCGGACATTTTTGCAATATATAACGTTAATTTAAGTAGCTACTTTGCTCAAATGAGCTGCATGGTTTCACACTTAAAAGCAACTGTCCTTCTAATGCAATGATACAATAGGGAAGCCATGCAAAGAGACCAGGCTGTTTTATCTTTAAATAAGAAAATCTGTAAATGTCTTGTAAAGCTTACCTGCTCTTTTATACCTCCTTGAGATGTCAAAATTCTAAACATATTCTAAACAGCCCAATTTTCTTTTTGCACAATTTCTTTACGTCTTACGTCTCAGTTGAAAAGAAAAAAAAAATGTCGGGTAACATTTTGAGCAAATATTCTTATTTAAAGATGAGCAAAATGCACCATTTTCGTGATAAAAATATATATTTCTTAGCTGCAAGGAGAAAGCTTCGCAATAAATTTCTCCAATCGAGTAACGCGAAGCCACATCCGCTTAAGGATATATAGCGTGTCTGGAGCAGAGAACATCGTGAAATATTATGCCAGAGGAAGACACAGATGCAAATGCTGCAGAAGGTATACAGAAGATGAATAATGATTCCTGTCCCAGAATGAAACAATAAATCCACCTTCAGTAAGAATACCCTGCAATTGAAGCCTGCGAGAGAGAAATATGTAAAAATTCCTGGCGTCTGCTCCATAAAAATCTGCATTCTGAACCGATTCCGATTTGCTGGGATTCTGTAGATGATGTTTGGCACTTTGGGAAATCGAAGGCGTTACTTTCTGTTCGTTTTCGTCCCCCCCCCGCCAACTACCACCGACCTCATCACGGCCTTCTCTGATTTTTTTTTTTTCCAGGGGATTTTCTTTATCACCTTGTTCTGATCCATCTGCTGGGAACTAGTGGCTTTATTCCATCTTGAAATTGGCAATTCCGTGCCGGTGATAGGTCAAAAATATCTCCCTTTTTATTGAGTATTTTTATCGACATTTTCGATGTGGGGGGAGATAAACTCCAATCTCATCATTTAGGAATTGTTATCGTACGAGAATCCCAGCTTTGACAGAAAACCTCTAGTTTAAAGCTTCATAAATAGGGTTTTTAGAGACAAAAAGGAACGGAAACCATAAATTGAACATTATCTCCACTAGTGGTCTTTTTAAGGAAATGTAGCCTTCTGTGCATTTGCTCTCATTTCACTATTGTTAACACAAACAATTATTCAATAAATTATATTATTTATCGCAACTAAATTTTAAATATGATTAATTTAAAGTAAATACATATAGTAATTGTTAAAACAAATTTAAATGCATTTGAAAAATAAAAATAAACTTTTTCCTTTTTTAACATCCGAATAAAAAGAAACGAAAAGGAATGATATTGTTCAATAAATGATTATCAACAGTAATAATAATTTATTTAATTATACGATTCCCACATCTTGATCATTTAACAAGTAATACTAAATAGTTAAATAATCAAGAAGTGAGAAAATATTTTGAATGCAAATTTATCCCTCCAAACCTTGTATATTTAACTATCTGTGAGAACGAAAAACTCTTCGAAGCTTTGTATATTTAACTCTTTGGGGAAACAAAATCCTTGTAAGCCTTATATATATTTAACTATTTATGAAAACATAGCTTTAAATTAAGCAGCCTATAATAAATAAAAACGAAATGGTAGTTAAATCTTGTTTGTGTACTACATTGATTGTTCCAGATAAATAATTATGGCAAAATATGCGAGGTTTTTCTGTCTCGAGAGATATGTTTTCCGTGAAAGAATCTTTTAAGAGAAACTCGACATATTTTCACTTTCATCACCGGTAACATAACCTTCTCTGTCATTCCGCCAAAGTTTTCACTCGAGGCAACCGAGCTGTTAAATATAAACAGCGATGACGACGAGCAGCAGAGTTATCGCATCTAGCCACGCACGAAGCTAGAAGAAACTTTTCAGACAAATGAGTATCTCGCAGAACTGGTTTAAACTGGAAGGCTTCTCTCTGAAATATTCTCATTGGCTGCTGTATCCCGGGTACATGCTCGAGACATTTTGCGACGCTGCCCAAAAAAGCTTCGTTTAGGGTTTGTGTCGCGTAGGATTTATTTAGTTTGGTTTATTCGATTATAACAAAGCACGCAAGAGCTTTCTGCCTAAGGAAAATATTCGTGGATGACTTTCTAAAGGAAATGAGATCGCATCTGCGTTAGGCATGGGGAAAACCGCAAAAAACGCCCACGTATCCAGCCGGTTCTGCTAGAATACTACCCAGATCGAACTACCAGTCTTCAGCGACTACATCGCTTGTTTGCTCACACATAAGAATGGCATGTACGTCTGGGATGTCTTCGAGTAAGCAAATCAATCACACTTTCTGGAAGCGAAGCACAGTTTTAGGGCAACTAAGAAGTCTGATAGCAGTTTTATGTGGTAATGGTAATACAATACATCTCGTTTTCTCCCTTGCGAATGGCACCCATCTCTCCTACTTCATAAATCTATCATGCCAATGGCCTGTGCGTGTTTTTGCTTAGGTGTGCTTCTCTTGTGGTCGAACTGTTCGTTTCATTGAGTAAAAAACCAAGAAACAAGATCGGTTGCCTCTTGTATTTGCTGACAGCTGAGACGGAATGAACTGAGAGTGTTCATTCATCTTGTTCCCTCAGCAACTGGTAAGCACCTGATTAGATTAATGCGACATGAATATGATTTATATCGGGATAGAATTAATTTGATAATTTTATAAAATTAAACCTCGTCATCCAGCTAGAAATTATCTCGTACGACAGAAATTACAAGGATATTTAATTTCAAAAGTTTGGTAATTTTGACGTCATTTTCAACATGCCTCGAGAGAACGGTTGATTAAGCTAGAATAATTCGAGGAAAATAAGTTTAAATAAAGTACAGTAAAAAATTAAAATAATAATTTAAATAAAGTAATTTAATAAGTCGCGTGGTGTCCATATCAGACTTTTTTCTTAGTTTTTCTTCGGAGTTTTTCACCTTATGTAAACCATTAAAATTTCACTGAATTATTAGATGTTAGTTTGGTAAGCGGAAAATCTCCTTTTATGTAAGTTTCTATATTCTGTTAGAAATCCCTTATACTGCAGTGCTAAGAAATGCTGATAAGGAAAATTCTTAGAACTGGCAATCATTGCATGTGGATAGATAGGACTAACCAGATTATATATTTACTTTATTCTTGTTGTGTTTACTTTAAACAAGCTTTAAATTAAATTTTTACCAGAGGCGCAAATTAGAAATATAATTGAGCGAGTCGTAATCAAAACTAATTAATTTTAAGTATGA